CAGGGGTGTGCCGAAATGGGTGCGGGGGACGTATGTGGACGTTGGCGCTGGGGCCTTGGGTGGAGCTCCCTATGGAGCCAGAAAGCGTGTGAGGTGTGTGTGTGTGTGCCGAAATTGGTGTTGGGGACGCATGTGGACAATTGCGCTGAGGCCTTTTGTGTAGCTCCCTATAGGGCCACAAAACGTGTGAGGGGTGTGCCGAAGTGGGTATGTGGGACGCATGTGGACGGTGGTACTGGGGCCTTCGAGGGAGCAACCTATGTGGCTACAAAACGTGTGAGGGGTGTGCCGAGCTAGGTGTGTGGGACGCGTGTGGACGGTGGCACTGGGGCATTGGGTGGAGCTCCCTATGGGACCAAGAAACGTGTAAGAGATGTGCCGAAATAAATGCGGGGGGCGTATGTGGACGGTGGCGCTGGGGCCTTGGGTGGAGCTCCTTATGGAGCCACGAAGCGTGTGAGGGGTGTGCCGAAATGGGTGTAGGGGGACGCATGTGGACGGTGGCGCTGGGGCCTTGGGTGGAGCTCCCTATGGAGCCACGAAGCGTGTGAGGGGTGTGCCGAAATGGGTGTTGGGGGCGCATGTGGACGGTAGCACTGGGGCCTTCGGTGGAGCTCGCTATGGGGCCACGAAGCGCTGTAGTTGGTATTGGAAACGCAGGGAGGAGGGAGGAAGGGAAGGAGGGAGGAGGGAGGAGGAAGGAGAGCGCGGGGACCGTCCGTTCAAAATGAGGACCCAAGACCACACGATGGTTGGGGCAAAAACAGTTCGGGTTTGCACTGCAGTGTTTGTTGCATTGCAGTTGGTCTCGGCATTGCATTTGTTTTGCAATGTAGTTTCGCGGCTAGGGCCGGGGCTTATGATTTCGCGTGCGAGTCAAACGTGTTTGGGGACATCCAGGGAAGTGCAACGCGCTCAGCGCCAACCACCACTACTAAAAACACAGTTGTTTGCATATCAGTTGTTGCTGTGCACTGCATGTGCTTCTGCATCACATTCTCTTTGCGCTATAGTTTCGCTGCAAGGGCTTTAGCTTAGGATTTCGCGTGCGAGCAGCAGTCCTCGCTCTTATTGGTGCTGGTCTGACTGGTCTGGTCTGGTCTGTGTGCGGCTGTTCTGCTTGGCACGGTTCGTTTGGCTGACCTGTTTGGCATAGTGGGTTTGGAGTGGTTTTTCCGATTCTTGGATGGTCTGGTTGATTGGTCTGCGTAGTCCGGCGCGGTTGGTCCACTTGGTCTGGTCGATTTGGTCGGCAGGGGTCTTTCGGATCCGATCCAGGTTAGTTTGTCTCATCGGTTTGGTGGCACAGGGTCCTTTTCTTGTGTGGTTGGTCCGTTTGGTTTGATGTGTTTCGTTCGCTGGGTTGGTCTGGTTTGCTTGTTGTAGTCAGGGGTATTCTGGCTGGTTGTCTGGGATTGTCGGTCTGGCATTGCGTTCCTCGCTCTTGTTGGTACTGGTCTGCTGTTGTTGGTCTGGCATTGCGTTGCTCACTTCTGTTGGTACTGCTCTGGCTGCTCTGGTCTGGTCTGTGCGTGGCTGCTGCGGTTCGCAGGGTTCGTCTCACCGGTCTGCTTGGCATGGTTCGTTTGAGGTGGCTGCTCCGATATCTGGCTGGTCTGGTTAGTTGGCTTCCTTGTTTTGATATGGCGTGGTTGGGGCATTCCGTCTGGTTTGTCTGGTCGGCGGGGTTTCTCGGATCCGATCCAAGCTAGCTGGTCGCATCGGTATGTTTGCGCAGGCTCCTTCTTCTGTTTGGTCGATTCAGTTGGTGTGGTTTGTTCGGTTCGCTTGGCTAACATTTGTTGGTTGGTCTGGTTTGTTTGGCATGGTCACGCCTGCTCTGACTGGTCGAATATTTGGTCTGGTGGGTCTGGTCTAGTCTGGTTGGTCTGGCCTGCCTGGTTGGTTGATCGGTCCTGGTTGGTAGTCGACTGGTTGCTGTGTCTGGTCTGCCTAGTTTGGCGATCTGGCTTGTCCAACTTGCTCCCCGGGGTTTCCCAGGCCTGCCTGCTGGGCAGGCTTGGGACGAGGACCAGGAGCAACAGCTGAACTATGCTGAATTCTGCTCATTCGGTTTTACACGCAGATGGGTGGCACTACGCGAAGCGGCTTCCTCGCTTTGAGTTTAAGCTCACACGCGAGATTAATGTGAAGCGTGAGGCAGCACGTTGGTTAGCACGCTTGCAGACGAGGAGCCTGGAGCTGCACACGATGGCGGCGCACGACACCCCCCACAATTCGGTCCCTGAGGCGCTGTTGCATATAATGGCATGGCCCTTCGACATATTATTTGGTTTCGGCTCCTGAAGCCCTTGGCTTCTCATGGCCTGCCCTTCGCCGCTTCGACGGCGAGAGGGTGGGGGGAGAGGCGGGGGCGGAGGGGGAGGAGGGGGAGGGAAGCGAAGGAAAGATGACGGACCGACCCCGCCCCGACCTTCGACGCACACGTTCTTGCCGTAGCGGATGTGGTGCATGGTCTCCACTGAGGTGGCGTGCAGGCTCGCCAGGATGAAGCCACAGGCTTGGTCTTCCCTCTCACCACCAGTTGCACCACCTCGGTTTTCGAAGCCGCTTGCTTCGTTAGGGGAGATTCCTGATTCCTTCTCCCTGCTCATCACCAGTGTTGCGGCTCCTTTCGCGGCCCCGATCGGCACTGCAACTTTCAAGCCTGCCGGCCCGATTTCCCAAAAGTTACTCTGCGCCTGAGCCACGCTCGAGAAGGGAAGTGTTGAGCAGCAGCAGCTGGCGCAGCAGCAGCAGGAGCAGTGGCAGGAGCAACATCAGCACTCGGGGGGAGAGAAATCCAATGTGAGGATCGGGGGAAGGAAAGGGAGAAGAGCTTGCTTCAGCGGCCATATTAGTTCTTAAGCCCCAAAGCAAAGTTTGGCGACGGGGCCCAAGAGAATTTCACATTGAACGTCTCAGAGTATATGCCCCAAAGAGCGGTTGCACTTAAAGGTTCCCGCTTCGTTGCCTGGGGGCACTGAGCCTGGCCGTCGGTCTGGCGGCTGCGCTGTCGCCGTCGCCGCCCCGTCGCCGCCTCGTCTCGTCTTGGCCTGGCCATCGGTTTTGCGGCTGCGCGGTCGCCGTCGCCGCCCCGTCGCCGCCGAGATTGCGCGGCATCGTTTGGACCGCGTCGATTCCCTTGTCTAAGCCCCTCCTTCCACCCCACCCGGAATGATCGACCCCCTCTGCACATTGCAATTCAGATTCGATTTTGCCCCTTCGTCGAGTCTACACGTATGGATGCGTGCACCACCTTGAGCCGAGTGCTGTCGCATCTGGCCGCAGGAACATATGTTCCGTAATCCTCAAAGTTCGAGCAGGCCCAGCCCATGCAATTTTTGGGCCAAAGTGGTTCCAGAGCTCGCCCGAGGAATCTCGAACAGTCTCTTCCCCTGGGCGTAGGCGCCGCCCCCTTGCCCCGATTGCCGCCCCGTTGTGCAGTGCAATTGCCCTGCCGTGGAGCCGACGCACGTGGAGGAGATCTTCCACGAGAGGGCGAACCCAGTGGAACACGCGGGGCTGATCTTGGGGACCTTCTTTGCTGGATTGGTGGCAGGCGGACAGTTTGCGCGTGGCAGTTTCAGCAGCATCTGGTGTCATCGTCGTGCTGCACCTGCCCCAGCCTCAGGACAACCCCTACCTTGTGCTAGAGACCTATACCTATACGCTGAGGACGAGATTGCCGTGCTCGCCCGTCCACAGCAGGCGCAAGCTCGCTGGCGCGTCGGCGCCAGCATCTAGGAGCAATGGCGGCGGCAGCCGCTGTCGGGCATCCATTCGGCCTTCGTGAGGGAGAGCTCTTCGCCATGAGAAACAATGTTGGTGGTCGCGAGCTGTGGCACATTCGGATACGCTGTGGAACACCGCCCAACTACTTGACAGGGGTGACGGTCATGACGCCAAACCTCGACGAGTGCGAGTAGGACCTGATGATAGGAACGGACGTCTCGGACTGGATCGCGATCGCCGGCCCGAATGGACTGTTTCCTCATGTTGGTGCAAAAGCAGCGTATTACAAGTTCCGCGTGATCCCGACCGTCGCCCAGCTGACAGCGGCCCGAACCGCGGGGTATCGGCGGATGGGCTTAGCCCCGCCAGCTGGCAACGTGCATCCTCTGCTGGGAGGCGCTCCCGCACCCGCAGAAGCCCCTCCAGCCGCGGGGGGTGGCGCGGCTGCCGGCTCTCTAGCTGCAGCCCTTGCCGGTGCTGCTCCCGGGGTGGCCTCTGGCTGGTGGGGTCCCCGGTCCGGGTCCCGGGGTCTTGGGTGCCGGAGCGCCTGCAGCTGCGCCGCCTGCCTCGCCCTTGCCCGCCGCTGCCGGCGGAGCGGAGCCGGCGCGGCTGGGCCAGCGCCGGCGCCTGGAAGAGGCCTGGCGCGTCTCACCGTTGCTTTCGGCCCGCCACCTGCTGCAGGTGAAGCCGGGGGCGTCGCCGGAGGAACCGCGCCTGCCGACTGGGCGGGTGGTCTTGTGGGCGGGGGCGGAGCACCAGCAGGTGCTGTGGCTCTTCCATCCGTTCTTGCCGCTGCCGTCGCTCCTCCGCCGCCTGGAGGCGGCTCCGATGCTCGCGCGAACCCTGCGGTGTATAATGCTACTGGCCAGCGGTTTCGTGAGTTCAGAGATGCAGCGTCGCTTTTCATAGAAGATCCGTGGCCAGACTGGCCGATCAGAGGTCCTCGAACGACGTTGTGAGTTTGTACATTCATTTTGTCTAACGGAGGGACTCCCTTGAGACGGCGCAACAGGTGGCGTGCGGATTGCAGGCTTCAGCCAGGCGGTCCAGGTGTCGACTCCCATGAGGGATGCTGTAGGCTTTTAGAGACTCTCGCATGTTATGATCAAGTAAATGCGCCAAACATAGCGGCTGCTGAGATAGCTGCTCGGGAGATACAGGTCGCCGAAGAGCGATATCGTGACAAGGTCGCAAGTGGCAGCGATGATAGGCTCGATTCCACCCTTGCTCGGGGCGCAGATCTGGCGCGCGGGAATCTCTGCGTCATGCCTGAGCTCACTCAGTGGATCGCTAGAGAGCTCACCAAGAAATATGCTGTCATGAAGGAGCGTCGGAAGGCGCGCGAGGAGCATGCCCTGTCGCGCCCAAAGAAGAAGGGCAAGGATCAGGAGCAGGGGTGACGTCACCCTCGCCAGCCCTGCCCCCGGCTGGTGCGCGTGCTCGCGCTGGAAGTAGTTGCGCTGAGGCAGTTTTGCAGTGCCCGGGACGGCACAGAGAAATTTCTCATTTGCCTTCTTCGAGCTGCCGGAGCCTCCCTCGCTTTGGGACATCGCTCTCACGCGGCGCAACCCGCAGGCTTGCTAGGAGCTCGCATGCGATAGACTGGGCCTCGGACGGCACGGCGTGTTTCAACGAACTGTTTGGCTTCAGCACCCCGTCGTCTTCGGTGCGGAATGCCGGTCAGGCGGCGGCTCTTAGCAACATTGAGTCGGCTTATCTCAGCCGCCGCCGCCGCCGCCTGGCGACCTCGAGTTTCCCGAGGGAGCCCTCGGCGCGCTCTTCGCTGTGCCGGGCTTTTACTCGGATGAGGGCTCCACCCAGCGGCCGTATGTCAAGAGCAAGGTCTCTTGGCCTGCGCGAGGCAACGCTCCTGCCAGTCTCTCAGACTGCCTCGCTCAGGCCGACTCGAAGTGGCTCGGCCTTCGGCGCGATGACGCGCTAAGATCGCCTGCTGCCGCGGATTTGCCGCGCGCGGAAGCGTGCCCGAACGGGCCCTGCGCCGATCCGATTTTGAAGAACAGCTCTCTTGCCCGCGGTGGTGTTTGTCTCTGGGCTGAGGCGACGAAGGATGGCGAGGCGTCGCGGGGCTGCCGGTCGGGGCGGCACTGTCGGAATATTCTCCGTCGCCAAAAAGTCTGGCGACATCGGGCCATTTTTGGTACCCAGGCCGCGAATGCAAGTTTCGCGGGCCCCCCTCGGACTCGCCCCCCCACCCTCGGGGCTTGAGCAGGCTTTGAGAAAGTGGGTCGGGGCTCCTTCTTCGCATCCGGGGACGTAGAGCGCACGTTTTATAGGCTTGCCATTCCAGTGGTTCGATGACATGCTCAGGCTTCAAGCTATCGCAGCTAGGCGCTTAGGTATCGTCGACGTCGATGGCTCGCCGGTCGCCCCGAATGACATGATCGCTCCGCGTGTATGCGTGATTCCCATGGGATGGTCCTGGGCGCTACATATTTGTCAGGGTGTACCTCAGCATGCCCTCAAGTTCGAAGGATTCGTCTCGTCCCGCATCATCGAGGATGGCTTGCCTGCTGCATCCTCCCAGCGCTCGGACACGGCCAGTGCGGGTTCTGTGGAAAACTTCATGATCTTGGGCTCGGATCGCAGGGCAGCGCAGTCAAGCCTGGACGGCGCGCGCAGGTGTTTGGAGTCTCTTGGCTTTTCTGTGCACGAGCTGAGCACCGCGAGTCGTGACGTCTCGTTTGTGGGGTTAAATTTTAGCGAGGGGTCCAAGGTATCCGTCAAGTCGGACAACATGCGGCGGTCACTGCTAAGACGGGGGGCGTGTAGCGGGTCGGCGCTCCGGGTCGCGATGGGTCAGGTGACCTGGGCCGCCCTTTTTCGTCGGGAGGTGCTCTCGCTGTTCAGTGCGTCTTACCAGTTTATGCCAGCTGTTGGCGAGCGTCCGCAGAGGATCTGGCCGCGTGTGCGCCGGGAGTTGTGGGCCTTCCGCTCTACCCTGCCTCTCCTCTTCACTGAGATCGACATCCCACGGCATGGCGCCATCGCAGCAGCAGGCGCCCCCCTCTTCGGCATCGGGGCGCGCGCTCGCGCTGCGTCGCCGCACAAGGCTGGCGAGGTGAGCAGATATGCGGGGCGCTGGGGATGCCAGGTGGCCGGTGCTGAGCGTGCCAGAAAACGTTCGTTGGAGCGTCTTGAAAGCAGTCGTCTCCCAGTCAACGGTGATCACAGTCCTGGCCCCCCTGTCCCTGGGCCTGCTCCGCCTCCCGCGGGGCCCCCATGCGGCGCCAGAGGGGCTCCGCGCGACGCCGCGCCGATCGAGGGCATCGAGGATCTCCAGAAGTTTCTAGAGGCATCGGGTGCCCTGTCCGAGGAGGTGCCAGAGGACGTGCTGCAGGGCCCCTGGGTTGCTGCGCTCGCCTCAAAGGTTCTTGTGGATGCCCATATACTGGAGCTCGAGGGGGCGGCCCTGATGATGGCCGCCGAGCATGTCCTGAGGTCGTCGGGGGCTTTCAACCGTCGGGCGGTCGTCCTGGCGGATAACCCGCGGCTGGCGTCGGCGGCCTGCAGGGGGCGATGGGGCATCACATCACCTTCTGCATCCCCTGCCTAAGCTGGCCTCCATATCATTGGTATACGGCGCGCGTTTCCACGTGCGTTGGATCCCGTCCGAGGTGAACCCGGCAGATTTCCCTTCCAGAGGCAAGCTGGGCTGGTTCGTGGCCCCGCGCATGCATCCACGTCCTGCGGTTCGCTGTTCCGGCTCCAACCTCGAGGGCGTGGGCGAGCTGGCGGCCCAGCCGGCGCGCGCCACTGCGTCCGCTCAGAGTGTATTGGCGGCTCCTGCGGATGGCTCCGAAGTCCCTGCCAGGCAAGCGCCCTCGCTGGCGGGCGAAGCCGGACTCGCGGGCAGGCGCGCTGGCAGCCCAAGCCTGCTGGAGAGCCTGGCTGCGACGCCGGGCACGGAGCTGCTGCGCGCAGGCGCGGCGACGCTGTTCCTGCAGCACTGCCCAGGCATGGGCGCGGACAGGCAGGGCGCCAACGAGCTGGACACCCTGCTGGTCGCGTCCTTCAGCGCGCAGTTTCTGGAGGGGCGAGCGTCGAGGACGGCTCGAAGCTCATGGCAGGTTTGTCACATCTCATCCCGGAGCTGCACAAGATGGCGACGGGGGAGCTTCTGCGGGCCAGCCGCTGCCTGGTCGCCTGGCGCCGGAGGATCCCTCCGCGCACGCGGCTGCCGCTGCCCCGCGCGGCGGCGTTCGCTCTGGCCAGGTGTCTCCGCGACCTGGGTTTCCCTCGCATGTGTCTCTTGGTGGTGGTCACGTTTGTGGCGTACCTCAGGCCCCGCGAGGCGTTCTTGCTGCGCGGGAAGCACCTGGTCGCCCCGAAGGTCGTCGCGGGCCGGCAGTGCAGCTCGCGGAGCCTGCTGCTCCACGACGCGACGCTGGGCGACCCCGGCAAGACGGGGATGTTCGACGCCGCGGCGCTGCTGGACAGGCGCGAGTGGCTGCTGCCGTGCCTCGAGGCGCTGAAGGCCCTGTCGCTCGACGCCGGCTGCCTGTGGGACTTCTCGCCGGCCGAGCTGCAGAGACATTTCGCCGTGCTGGTGAAGGTCCTCGGCCTGGAGTCGCTGCCCCCGCGCCTGCACTCGCTGCGCCGCGGCTTCGCGAGCGACGACCTCGCCGCTGCCGCCCGGACTCTGGAGGAGTTGAGGGTGAGAGGACGCTGGGCCGCCATCGCGAGCCTCAAGGGGCAGGGCAAGACGGCGCGCCTGCTGCTCGAGATGGCGAAGGTGCCCGAGGACGCGCGCGTGCTCGGCCGCGCGTTGGAGGCGAACCTCATGAGCGCGATGGCCGAGGGCTTCGAGAGCCCGCTGTCGCCGGCGCGGCTGCCGCCGCGCGTCGCGGCCCTGCTGGGCCCAGGGCGGGGGGGGCCGCGAGAGCTGCCGGGGACTTCTTAGAGCGCGATGCGCGGCGCTACGGGCAGCGCGCCTTTCGCGCCAGCGCTGCGCCGCGCCCAAGGCTCAGGAGGCGCTCGGTCTTTTTTGGAACTCTCCGCCGGCAGCGGTCGCATCGCAGGTGCCGTTCAAAAGCTCGGTTGTCGTTCGCTCTCTTTCGATCTGCTCAATAATGCTTGCGAGGACCACCTCGACCCCACGTTTCAGAAGGTTTTCCGTTGGATGGCTGACCTCGGAATGCATTGTAGCGCCGTGGTTGGGCGCGACCTGTGCCGCGCGGACGCGCGCCCTTCGCCGCCCCTTGCGGAGCAGCTCCGCCCCGTTCGGCATCGAAGGCCTGACTGGCGCTGAGCTCGAACGCGTGGGGATTGGCAGCGCTATGCTTCTGTTCAGAATCTTTCTCATCAAAATATGCATTGCGGCCAATATCCCTGTCTTCCTCGAATACCCTCGGACGTCGGCCGCGTGGCGGGCTGAGCAGATGAAAGATCTCATGAGTAGCCCAGTCTTGTTCGATGCCTGCTGCGATTTTCTGTCAATTTAGAGCCCCTGGAAAAAAACAACTATAATTGCTCTGTGGCATGGCGGCAGCCCGTCATCCCTGTGCAAGCGCTGTTCTGGCAAGCATGGTTTTTGCAGTCCACATAAAAAAAGGCCATATCGAGTTGTCCGGCAATGCTCCTGGGGGGCGCAAGTGGACCAGCACTGCCGCTCCTTATCCTGTTCAGTTTGCCAATGCTGCCTTTGAGAACATGGTCTTTGCTGCTGGGCATTTAAAACTCATAGGCTGAAAAGTATGTCACTTGGCCTGTGATGCGGCCAGGTTTGGCCAGACTTCCTGTGCGGTATCGGGTGCTTGGCGTCCAGATGCTCGTATCGATCGCTCTCTGACCGTTCTTTCAATTGCAGTCTGAATCTCGACAGCGGCAGCCCCGACGCGGTGCCTTCGCGCTCGCCTCAAGACACAAACCATCGCCTGGTCAGAGTAGAGAGCGCCCGGGCAGGATGCGTTCACCACTTTAAGCCGAGTAGTGTCGCATCTGGCCGCAGGAACACTGTTCCGCAATCCTCAAGGCTCCCTCCCACCCTTTTTCACTGCCCGCTTTCGGGTGCTTGGCGTCCAGGTGCTCGGTGTCGATCGCTCTCTGACCCCTCTTTCAACTGCAGTCTGAATCTCGACAGCGGCGGCCCCGACGCGGTGCCTTCGCGCTCGCCTCGCGATCAAGACCATCGCCTGGTCAGAGTAGAGAGCGCCAGGGCTATACATATATACGCACATACATACATGCATACATACATACACACATGCATACATACATACATGACTTCCGTGTATATGCACCGTCCCAGGGCGTCCATTTATATCATCCCCCATTTTTGCCAAATAACATCATGCGCGCACATTGGTTTATCAAAACGCATCAATGTCAGTGAACTTGTTGCAGCATGGTGCGAAGACATTCGCGCTCGCTCGTAGTCGCGCGCTTGTCGCAATCTTTCGCACGCCACGGGCTTCGCAAGGGTTTCGAGGTCGACGTTCCCGAAAACATATAAAAAGCACTGGTGTTGCAACGTGTGTCTCAACAAAACTTGCGCACGCGATCTCGCGAACACTTTGGAGAACCATCGGGCTTGCATGCTCTTCGTCAAATGAGACCGCGCGGCCCTCCCGCGCGCGCATGTCGAAATCATTCGAGCGCCCCTGCGCGCTTGCTGGGGGTGCACGATCCTTTTTTCAAAGGATACCATGCAGGCCGCTCGCGCGCGTCGGCCGCGCGCGAATGCCGAATTCCTTCCGGAAGCTATAGAAGTGACGCGTGGACATTATCATCGCCACCGGCGTGGCCAGCATCGGCGCCGACATTGGTTTTGCCGTCGTGGCCGCAATCGTCGCCACCGTCATCGCCGTCATCATCGCCTTTTCCGTCGCCGTCAATGTCGCCGCGATACCGCCCACGCCCAAGTCTCCGGCCCGCGTTGAAGCGCCGGCGCGCCAGCTTTTGAGACGCACTGGGAAGTTTTGATCCGTCCGCGACACCGCTGCAGCATCGGTTGCGCCCAACTAGCTGGCACTTTGCGCGCGAGCTTGCGCGCGCCAGCGCTGACGCAGAGATACGCAGGCCAACGCCAAACAGTCATCGCGATCGCCGCCGCATGCGCTTTGCAAGCCAAGATTGTACGAACGGTGGGCCGACATTTCCAGGCTGTTTTGAACTAGTTCTCCTTTCTAAAAATAGAATAAATTCCCCCCCCCTTCCAGCGTTATCCGTACCCCTTTTCGAGTATGTGAACCATCTATGATTCTGGCCACATGTCCATCCTAAATATGAGTTTGCACTATCCCCGGGGGGCCGGTATCGACCCCCCTGAGGTTCCCTTGTGAAAAAAACGATACGCGGGGACATCTTCTGTTCTAACATAATTTTTGTCCGCGAATCCCTTGCGCGAGTGGGACGAAGTGCGCGCGCGCGCCGTCGCGCGCGCATGCCGAAATCCTCAAAAAAACCTTCGGTGCCGGAAGGATTTCGCAACCGAGTTTCAAAAAAAAAAAAACATACAAAAACACAGGGCTTCTCAATTTGCGGGAAAAAAGCTTACGCGCGAGCTCTTGCGAAATTTTAAGAAAACCATTGGTTTCTCAAGCTTATCACAAAATGCTACCAAACGGGCTTCGCGCGCGCATGGTGGAATCTTTCGAACGCCCCTGCGCGTGTGCCGTCGCGAGAATCCTCTTCAAATAACGGGACGAAGTGCAGACGCGCGCGTCGTCGCGCGCGTATGCACTTCGGCTTCAATCGCGCGTGCGTCGTCGCGCGCGTCGATCGCGTGCGCGTCGACGCGCGCGCGTCGATCGCGTCGGCTTCAATCGCGCCCGCATTCGCGCGCGCGCGTCGTCGCGCGCGTATGCGGAAATCCTTCAAAACCCATCGGCTTCGGAAGGATTTCAACATCGTGTGTCCAAAAAACCTACAAACACAAGGTTTCGCAACACGGATGTTCAACAAAAGCGTGCGCGCGCGCTCTTGCGTCGTCGTCGTCGTTGTTGTCGTCGTCGCCGTCCTCCCTCCTCCCGCGTCGTCATCGTCGTCGTCGCCTACGTCGTCCTCTGTCTTTCCTCGTGTTCGTCGTCGTCGTCCTCTTTGGCGTCGTGGTCGTTTCCGTCGTCGTTGTCGCCGTGGTCGTCCTTCCTCCTCCTCCCTCGTCGTCGTCGTCGTCCGTCGTCGGCGTCTCGTCGACGTCCCTTCTATTTTGTCGCCGTCGTCGTCGTTGTTGTCGTCGTCGTCGTCTCCCTTCCTCCCTCGTCGTTGTCGTTGTCGGCGGTGTCGTCCTTCCTCCTTTTTCGTCGTTCGCGCCGTCGCCGTCCTCATTCCTCCCTCGTCGTTGTCGTCGTTGTCGTTGTCGCCGTCGTCGTCCTCCCTCCTCCCTCGTCGTCGTCTTCGTTGGCGACGTCGTCGTCGTCTTCGTCGACGTCGTCGGCGTCGGCGTCGTCGTCGTCTTCGTCGTCGTCGACGTCGGCGTCGTCGTCGCCGCCGTCGTCGTCGTCGTCGTCGTCGGCGTCGTTGACGTCGTCGTCGTCGGTGTCGTCGTGTCGTCGTCGGCGTCGTCATCGTCGTCGTCGTTGTCATCGTCGTCGCCGTCGTCGTCGTCGGCGTCGTCGTCGTCGGTGTCGTCGTCGTCGTTGTCGGCGTCGTCGAAGTCGTTGGAGACGACGCCGGTGTCGTCGTACTCGTTGTCGGCGGCGTCGTCGTCGTCGTTGTCGCTGTCGTCGTCGGCGTCGCTGTCGCTGCCAAGTGCCATTTGGTACTCACCGTCACGGTCTTAAGAGATTTTGCAAACCAAGTTACGGGTGGGTGGGTGGGAGGATTGCGCGGGCAGTAGAGTTGACAACTCCAAGTTCGGCAAGTGGATTCTCCTTTCTAAAAGACTAATAGATTCTACCCCCCCCCCCCGGACTTATCGGGTCCCCCGCGCGTGTTGTAAATCGCATATGATTCTGACCACATGTCCATCTTAAATATGAATTCATACATCCCAGCCAAGCCGGTATCCCCCCCCCTGCGGTTCCCTTGTAAAAAACACTATGCGGTGACATGTTTTGTTATAACATCGCACTTTTTCATTAATCCCTTGCAAAAAATGGGACGAAGTGCAGACGCGCGCGTCGTGGCGCGCGCATGCCGAATTCCTTCAAAAACCTTCGGTTCTGGAGAGATTTCAAAATTGAATTTCAAGAAAAAACATACAAAAACACATGGTTTCGCAACACTGATTTGCAAAAAAAACTTACGCGCGAGCTTTTGCGAAATCTTAAGGAAACCATCGGTTTTCCAAGCTTTTCACAAAATGCTACCAAACGGGCTTCGCGCGCGCGCATGTCGAAATTTGTCGAACGCCCTTGCGCGTGTGCCGTCGCGAGAATCCTTTGCAAAAAATGGGACGAAGTGCAGACGCGCGCGTCGTGGCGGGCGTATGCCGAAATCCTTCAAAAACCCCCGGTTTCGGAAGGATTTCGAAATCGTGCGTCCAAAAAACCTACAAAAACACAAGGTTTCGCAACACGGGTTTTCAACAAAATTGTGCGCGCGCGCTCTTGCGTCGTCGTCGTCGTCGTCCTCCCTCCTCCCTCGTCGTCGTCGTCGTCGTCGTCGCCGTCGTCGTCTTCTGTCTTTCCTCGTCGTCGTTGTCGTCGTCTTGGCGTCGTCGTCGTTTCCGTCGTCGTTGTCGCCGTGGTCGTCCTTCCTCCCTCGTTGTCTTCGTCGGCGTCTCGTCGTTGTCCCTCCTATTTCGTCGCCGTCGTCGTCGTCGTCGTCGTCGGTCTTCACTCCTCCCTCGTCGTTATCCTCCTCCCTCGTCGTCGTCGTCCGTCGTCGGCGTCTCGTCGTCGTCCCTCCTATTTCGTCGCCGTCGTCGTCGTCTTCGTCGTC